ACTCCAACCCATGGCCTAAAACTATAATTTCCCTTATATTCCCCCCAATCCATTCCAAACCAAATTCTAATTTGGACCTAAAACGTAAAAAAAAAAAATAAAAAAAAAAAAACAAGAAATCGGCCAGGATTTAGCCCAGAAAATGGTGTGAGCCCCACCATCGAGAGTGAAAAAAGGCACTTAAACGCCAAAAACCCCCAAGAGACGCGCGCATGCGAGCAAAGCGCCAAGGCAGAGACCGGCATGGCCCCACCCACATGGGCATGTCGGCGACTTGAGCCAGAAACCAACGACTAGATTTGCAATCTACGGCTGAGATCAACTGGCCATTGGTTGATCCAACGGTTTGCATTCAAAATATTTTTTTGGGAATTTTAACAAAAGGCTCCCGGTACTGTTCACTTTAACGAAAACCACATTTTTACACTAAAAAGTCAATCCTGGTACTATTCACTTTAGCCTTTATTTTGTCCTTATCATTAAAACTCAAAGTTTTCAAGCCTTTTTCATTAGTTTTCCTTAGTTTTTTTAATTTTTAATTTATATATTTATTGAATCCAATGGCTGAGATCAAATACAATCAAATCTAACGGTAAAATAAAAAGATCTAACGATCCAAATTTAAATTCAACAGCTAAAATAATTAAAAAAAATTATTTAACTCAAAATTCACCCAAAAACTCTATGAATACCTATGTATTTGTTTAAACATCCACACAAAACTCACTTTTCTCCTACAATTCTTCCCCTTTTTTTACTACCATTTCTTCTAATTTCCAAATTTTTCAAGATGGCAAAAGAGCATATTAGAGGTCGTAATTGGACCTTTGAGGAAGATGTTGCTTTATGTTTGGCATGAGTTTCTATTAGCGAAGATGGTGCCGTTGGCACAAATCAAATTAAAAAGGTTTTGTGGGTAAAATCATTGATAAGTTAAATGAAAACTCCAACGCCGGGCGAAGGGAAGGTGGTGGTGTTTACAATCAGCGGAAGTTTATCAACAAAGCGTGCATTTTATGGAAGGTAAGCTTGGAGAATAGGGTGACAAATTTGTGAGTTTCTTTGTTGATATTTTATTTGTCATGTACATAATATTATTTTACAACTAGTTGTTTTTATGTATTTGTTGCATAGGATGACAAAGTAATGCCAATTTACAAAATAAGAACTACACCGAAAAATTAACCTTTTTAAGTTGCATCATGCTTGGAACGTTCTCAATGATTGTCCGAGGTGGGGAACCGATGTAGACCAACAATGGGGAAGATTATTTTATAGTGAAGCCACACAGACAAATGAAGCAAGAAAGGTTCGAATGTAATTTCATGATGGAGGACCTCAACAAATACACTCCAGAGAGGAAGAAGTTCTTACGTGATAAGCAAAAGAAAATTTTGCGAGGGGCTACCACAAGTAGTATATTTCAAGATGATGATCATTTCAAGGCTATATCCCAAGTCCACCACCAAGTCAAGATGATGGATGTCATTATTAAGTTTATGTAATTTATGAATTATCAATTGTATTAAGTTTATGTGGTTTATTAATTGTCGTTTTGTATTAGGTTTCATGTATCAATTTAGTGATTTTTCAATATTTAAAATGTTCATAAAATTAATTTAGGATAGGCTATATAATTTTTTTTTTTTAAAAAAAAAAGCCTAAATTCATTCTTTAATAATCTGGGGATAAAAGTTTAGGCTAGAAGGATTAGAGCAGAAAAACTGTTTCTGGGTTAAAACCTAAATTTTATAGACTAAAAATTTTAGGTTTTAGATTAAGGGTTGGAGATAGTCTGAGGTAAGTAATTTATCAGGGTTTTCACTTTCTTTGATTGTAATATGTCCTTTTGAGGAATGCTTTGCGATTTGTTTATGTTATTTTGGGTTTTGTGTAATCTTGGAATCTTTCCTTTTGCATCAGTGAGATTTGGGTTTTTCGGTTTTGTTTACAGTTTTTGAATGTCCATGAATTTTGAATGGTGGGTTTCTGTGGATTTTGTTATTCGAAGAGGGACATATGGATTGGTTTGTTACTTGGTACATACGTTTATAAGCATCAAATTATATACACTCGCTCCTACTCAAATGTTCAAATATATTCATTTATGTATGTTTGCGCATTCACTTTCGTATACGTGTGTTAACTGCCATTTAGATTTGGTCAAGTGAATAATGTAGGTATATGAATCGGTCATTTCACACATATATAGATTGATAGGTAGATTGAATTGAAATTTCGTGAATCGGTCATACACTTTACATGATTTCTATGCGGGAATGCTAGTGAATGCTTTATTTAATTTCCAAGAAATTGAAGCTGAGAATACGATATTTTCCCTTTGCTATGGAAATACAACCGTGGATTCTGTGGTGCAGTAAATATGAGGCCTAATAAAAGTTAATTTTCCTTGTTTCTTATGTTCATATGTTTTAACATCCGATTGGATTTGCATTAAGGTTTTAATTTTAGGGGTTTTTTCTGCTTTAGTTCACTTAATATTCATACCTGTTAATGTTTTTACTTTTTAAGCGTATGGTTTTAAGTTGTTTTGGTATGTGTAAGAATGTGTCCAACATGGTTTCTTTTTCGCACATCCTTTCAATAATTTAGATTGACTTACCCCAAATCCATTGGCAGTTACTTTTTTTTTTGGTCAAAAGTACTTTTTATTACAAAAATTACAACTTGACAAAGCCCAAAGCTAACATATTAACATCCAAAAAAAGGGTCACAACAGAACAACACATCCCAAAAGCTAAGATACAATTAGGCCCAAAACGTAGAACATGAACATTGAACCTAGAAACTTTTACCATCTCCATTGCCGACAGAGGTCATCCTAAGCCGTCCAATTCCTCGTTCATAGTCAAGCAATACCTCACCAAATGCCACATCAAACTCCAATCTGCCACCCAAGCATAGCCATACAGTAAGGATAGCTAGCAACCAAACAAGAGAAGCCAACTGTCGAGATGAAGTCCGTGGAGATCCACGAACAACACTATCGAAAATGGCAGATAACAAGGAGAAAGTGGTGGTGTTGGAAACACCTGAGCTAGTGAAGCCACTGGACTCTACACACAATCTGAGTAGGTTGTATGGCTGAAGATCAGAATATGAATGAACACATAGGATAGATACTGTCTAGGAAAGAGAAACCATACATAATAGTATAACAACCAAGGCTAAAAAATGGTAGAAGTAAGGAAAACAGATAAGAAGGAAAGAGAAGGGAGGACGGCGACCGACCCTAGTCGAAACTAGGTCGGCGCCACTGGTTTTCCTTAAATTTGGAAGCCTCACATGAAGGGGTGAGAAAAACTCTCAAAAGGAGAAAACGACTCTCACTAGAGAGAGAAAAGTATTGTCGCACCCTATTGACAGTTACTTTGTATACGTTAGGGATGAGTCTTCTTCTTCAGCTTAGTGGGCACCGTACCTTTAGCAAAGCGTCTAGGTAATGCAACTGACGTAGAACGTTTAGCGGAGGAATTTGAAGCACAGCTTGATAGGCGCCAGGAGAAGACCAAGAGGTCATGAGTTATCCACTATGATTAATAGTATTCAATATGTGCAATTAATCTGGTATATCACAAATAGAATAAATAGGCAATGTAAGTGTTGCTTAAGGATATTTTTCTTTGTATTCCATATCAATCAAAATAATCTTTCAAAATTCTCTCATTTTCTGGTGGATTCCAGATGAATCTTTAGGGGTGAACGTGAGGATCCCATTGTTAATCATCTCGCTGCGTCAGTTGGTATCAGAGCAGGTTTGCCTTGGATCGATGGCGAATGACCCGACGAATGATAGGACTCGTCCTGACGGGGAACCAGTTTCCAGGAGAGAGTTTGACGCCCTTGCTGCAAGCGTTGAAGAGATTAGGCAATTGCTTCTCAACATGGGGAACCACGACAATCTACAAAACGAACGAGAAAACCGACGTGGTGGTGGTAGAGTCAACCGCAATGGTCATCGTCAACGGGAAGCTAGTGAATCAGATTCTGAGGAGGAGATTGACCAGCCCGAGAACCCATATGCTGCTAATAAAAATAACCGACAACCCATTGAAGATTACCGAATAAAGGCCGACATTCCTTATTTTAATGGTCATCTATCCATTGAAGGATTTTTAGACTGGCTCGTGGAGGTAGAGAGATTCTGTAAGATTATGTCGGTGCCGGAGGAAAAGATGGCTAAGATAGCGGCTTTTCGCTTGAAGGGAAGTGCGGCTGTATGGTGGGATAATTTGCAGAAGTCGCGACAGAGGCAGGCCAAACAACCGATCAAAACATGGCGTAGGATGAAACAATTGATGATGGAACGTTTCCTTCCAGTAGACTACGAGCAGCATCTCTATCGCCTTTACCATAATTGTACCCAAGGTAGCAGAACAGTCAAGGATTATACTGACGAATTTCTACGGTTGGCAGAGAGAAATTCTTTGAATGAGACTCAGGGGCAGACGGTGTCAAGGTATGTCAATGGATTGACGACTTCAATACAGGATAGAATTGGGTTACAAGTTTTCTGGGATGTCCATGAGGCTCAAAATATGGCTATGAAGGCACAACAGTTAGAGAAAGAACTGAAAGATCATGAACAAAAAGAGAAGAAATCGAGCTATGGCAATAATAATAATTACCAGAGGAAGGCAGCAGATTCTTATGTTCCTGACAAGGAGAAGAAAGATGTTGAGCTGATCCAAGGAAATAATTATAAAGGGCAGAATTACAGAGGAGAGGGCAGCCGGGACACTGACATAAATCAGAATCGAAATCAAAGGCCAAGCCTTGGTCCGTACGCCAGAGCAACCAGTGATGTCTGCTATAGATGTTTCCAGCATGGCCACAAATCCAATAACTGTCCGAAGCGGAAGCAAGCAAACCTTGTAGAAGGAACCGAATAAGCTGATGATCACGGAGGAAATTATACTGATGATTATGATGGGGCTGAGTTTGCATATGAAGATAATAATGAGGTTGTGAATTTGATGATGAATCGTGTTTCTATTGAAGAGGATGAAGTACTCAACATGGTGCTACAACGAGCTCTCCTGGCGCCTAAACAAGAAGGGCAAAGAAATCATATATTTCGCTCCTTATGTTCTGTTGACAACAATGTGTGTACACTGATTGTGGACAGTGGTAGCTGTGAGAATTTTGTGTCACAAAAGTTGGTTGATTATTTAAAACTTCTGATAGAGAAACGTACAGATCCTTATATATTGGGTTGGGTGAAGAAATGCCTGTCGGTGAAAGTGACAAAAGTATGCAAGATTCCTCTTTCTATCGGTAAACATTACAAACATGAGATTTGGTGTGATGTAATTGACATGGATGCCAGCCATGTATTACTGGGAAGGCCATGGCAGTTTGATGTTGATGCTACCCATAAAGGTCGTGATAATGTATTTTTCTTTGAGTGGGGCTCTCGCAAAATTGCTCTTGCTCCTATTAATCAATCTGGAAAATTAGAAAACCCACAAGTTGGGAGTTCAAATTTTCTAGCTATCTCCAGGAATAGCCACGAGTTTGAAGACATTATTAAAGAAGTTGGGTGCATGTATCCAGTTGTACTTAAGGGTCTCATGGTGACAGATGTTGCTGCAAGCCACCTTCTTGAAGAAGTGCAGGAAATTTTGAGAAAGTTTGAAGATTTGATTTCTGAAGATTTACCGGAACAACTTCCTCCTATGCGAGATATTCAACATCAGATTGATTTAGTCCCTAGAGCAAGCCTTCCTAACCTACCCCATTATCGGATGAATCCGAAAGAAAATGCAATCTTGAAGGAGAAGATTGAAGAGCTGCTGAAAAAGGGATTTATTCGTGAAAGTATGAGTCCTTGTGCAGTTCCCGTCTTATTAGTGCCAAAAAAGGATAACACTTGGCATATGTGTGTTGATAGTAGAGCCATTAATAAGATCACCATCAAGTATAGGTTTCCAATTCCACGGTTGAAGGATATGCTGGATGTTCTTGAGGGTTCTAAGGTGTTTTCGAAAATTGATTTGCGCAGTGGTTATCATCATATTCGAATTAAACCAGGAGATGAATGGAAGACGGCCTTTAAAAGCAAGGATGGTCTGTATGAATGGCTGGTAATGCCATTCAGATTATCAAATGCACCAAGTACTTTCATGCGACTTATGAACCAGGTTTTGCGTCCTTTTACTGGGTCATTTGTTGTTGTGTATTTTGATGATATCTTGATTTATAGTAAAACCAAAGAAGAGCATTTATTGCACTTGAGACAAGTTCTGGATGTTCTGGAAAAGAATAAACTTTATATTAATTTGAAGAAGTGCACATTCCTTACAAGTAAGTTGCTGTTTTTGGGTTATATTGTTAGCAAAGATGGATTTCATGTGGATCAAGACAAGGTACGTGCAATTAGAGAATGGCCTACTCCAAAAACCGTAAGTGAGTTGCGTAGTTTCCATGGCCTTGCTACTTTTTATAGACGCTTTGTACGAAACTTTAGTACCATTACAACTCCTATTACTGAGTGTCTCAAGCAAGGAAAGTTTCAATGGGGTGAAGCACAAGACAGGAGTTTTGCATTGATTAAAGAAAAGCTTAGCACTGCACCGGTTTTAGCTCTTCCCAATTTCGAGAAGATATTCGAGGTCGAATATGATGCAAGCGGATTGGGCGTGGGAGCTGTGTAGTCTCAAGAAAAAAAGACCAGTGGCATTCTTCAGTGAAAAGTTGAGTGAAGCCCGTAAAAAGTGGAGTACTTATGATCAGGAATTTTATGCGGTCGTGCGTGCTTTGAAGCAGTGGGAGCATTATCTAGTGCAACAAGAATTCATCCTTTATACTGATCATCAAGCTTTGAAGTTCATCAACAACCAGAAGAGTGTGAGTAAAATGCATGTAAGATGGGCCATTTTCCTTCAAAAGTTTCCTTTTGTGATTAAGCATAAATCTGGATCTCTCAATCGTGTTGCTGATGCTTTGAGTCGGAGAGCTAACTTGTTGATTACTTTAGCACAAGAGATTGTGGGGTTTGAGTTTTTAAAAGAGTTATATGAAGCTGATTTTGATTTCAAAGAAGTTTAGGCAAAGTGTGTTCAGAATCAACCTGTTTCAGATTACCACATTAGAGATGGGTATTTGTTTAAAGGTAACAGGCTGTGCATTCCTAGTTCATCCTTACGAGAGAAGCTTATTCGAGATATTCATGGAGGTGGTTTGAGTGGGCATTTAGGCAGAGACAAAACCATTGCAGGAATTGAGAAACGTTATTTTTGGCCTCAGTTGAAGAAAGATGCTGGCAAAATCGTGAAAAGGTGTTATGTTTGTGGTATAACATAAGATTTTGTGGTATCCACTAGTGTAAATATTTTAAATTGAAGATCGAGTTCATTCATTGCACTCGTATAGGGTCAATGAGCGTAGCTGTAAAAAATCATCAAAATCGGAGTTAAAATAACCGTTAAATCGTGATTTTTCATTGATAACCGTCGAACAATTTTGCCCCATTACTTGATCTCTGAATGTTTGTTTTTTGCAATTTTTGGCGTATGTGATCTCGAAATATATACAAACATGTTTGACGGTTGGATCGTTGAAACTAGTTTCGTAGAATGTGTATCCCATCAAAATAATAGATTCACTAACACTGAATAGTTTATTCATACTTTCATTAAGTATAACATACGATTTGTGGTATTCACTAGTGTAAATATTTTAAATCGAAGATCGAGTTCATTCATTGTACTCGTATAGGGTCAAGGAGCATAGCTATAAAAAATCATCAAAATCGGAGTTAAAATAACCGTTAAATCGTGATTTTTCATTGATAATCGTCGAAAAGTTTTGTCCCATTACTTGATCGCTGAATGTTTGTTTTTTGCAATTTTTGGCATATGAGATCTCGAAGTATATACAAACATGTTTGACGGTTGGATCATTGAAACTAGTTTCGTAGAATGCATATCCCATCAAAATAATAGATTTACTAACACTTAAGAGTTTATTCATACTTTCATTAAGTATAACATACGATTTGTGGTATCCACTAGTGTAAATATTTTAAATTGAAGATCGAGTTCATTCATTGTACTCGTATAGGGTCAAGGAGCGTAGCTGTAAAAAATCATTAAAATCGGAGTTAAAATAACCGTTAAATCGTGATTTTTCATTGATAACCGTCGAAAAGTTTTGTCCCATTACTTGATCTCTGAATGGTTTTTTTTTTTTTTTTTTTTTTTTTTTTTTTGCGATTTTTTGGTGATGCGATCTCGATGAATATACAAACAAATTTGACGGCTGGATCATTCAAATTAGTTTCGTAGAATTTGTATCCTATCAAGTTCAATGGCGTGTGTGTGTGTATATATATATTTATTATGTAGATTTAAATTTATTTATTTTGTACGTATAACACTTACGAAATTTAATGGTATGTATGATATGAATGATTTGTAAAGATAATTGTTAGGGTCAAAGCACATAACTACTAAAGATTATACATAACAACTAAAGATTATACATAACAAAAAAAAATTGAATAAGAACCGTCTATTAAAATTAGAAATCAGGACAAGACAAAATTTAATTGCATGAATTGCTAGCCAGTGCTATTTGAATATAGCATGCATAGCATGTCACTCACAACTCTAAACTTTAAGAAAACAGTATTTAACAAATTAAAAGGAGGCGCGGAGTTGAAAAAAAAAATTAAGAATTTAGTCCATGAAGCAGTTAACTCTCTCCGTCCCACCCTTCTCCCTCTTCCTCTCCCGCTCCACCTTCATCTCCTTCTCCACCTCCATCTCCGTCGCTGCAAATAGACGGACCGACAGCCTCCTTCCGGTGGAAATCGAAACCATCGTCAAAGTCAAAGCCTAAAAAGGTTTTTCCCTCCTAATTGTTATCTTCAATTTACGTTTCTGATGGATAAACCCATCAGTTTTCTGTGTAATTCTCTTAGGGTTTTCAATTTTCTTTTTCGATTCTTTTGCAAGTATATTGTGGGTTCTTCCCCTTCTAATTCTCATCTGCAATTGTTTTACCTTCCATTCAATTTTTTTACTGGGTTCTTTTGCGAGTATATTGTGGGTTCTTTTGCGAGTATATATTGTGGGTTCTTCCCCTTCTAATTCTCATCTGCAATTGTTTTACCTTCCATTCAATTTTTTTACTGGGTTCTTTTGCGAGTATATTATGGGTTCTTCCCCTTCTAATTCTCTCTAAATTTGTTCAATTTTCCTATACAGAGGGCGGTTACAAGGCTGGGCTTATATACTGAAGAATCTGATTATATTCTAGGCTAGCTGCTTTCTTTGGTAAGGTATGTTGTTACACCGTCACCCTCAGCCTATCTTATTCATTGTTTGATTGCTGGTCCTAATGAATGTTGCATGTAAAATTAAATTTGTAAACAGGGAGTAGATACTTTATATGCCATGGACAGGGAATGGATACGAAATTCGAATCGAGTGAGTAGGGAATATTTAAATGGGATTTCAGAATTTTTGAAAACGGCAAGCAAACATGTCAACACTGAGGGTTATACTAAGTGCCCATGCCAGAATTGCAACAACTGTAGATTGAAGTCATTGAGAGAAATTCAGCAAGATTTGGGTAGATGTGGAATGTCATTCAATTATACTACATGGACTCATCATGGGGAGCGATTGAGAACTGTTTCAAGTTTTTCAAACCCACAACCAGTGTCGCGACCTATTAATGAAATAGGAAGTGATAATGATCATGTAATGAATGTAATCAACGATCTTCATCCACACACGCATGTTAGTCAAAACAATGCTTTGGAAGAGGATGATAACACAATCAGTAATGATAATGTGGAAGTGGATGAGTCCAACATGCCTAGAGAAGAACATGAAAAGTTTGAGAGATTATTAAAACAAGCTCAACGAGAATTGTACCCTGGGTGTGAAGGTTTCTCTGTACTAACGGCAATTGTGGAGTTCATGCATGGCAAGGTCATGTTTGGAATGTCCAACACATGCTATGATTATTTCATGGCACTTTTCAAACGGATGCTTCCGAAAGATAATGTTTTGCCTCCATCACATTATGAAGCAGATAAGATTTTGAAAGATTTAGGGTTAGGGTGTGAAAAAATTCATGCCTGCAAGTATGATTGTGTGTTGTTTTACAAAGAAAATGAAGGGTTAGATCAGTGTCCTGTTTGTAATGAGCCTAGGTATCATAAGAGTTCTCCGGACAAGAAGCGGAAGATTCCGAGAAAAGTGCTAAGATATTTTCCACTTAAGCCAAGATTGCAACGGCTGTACATGTCAGTGCACACGGCCAATGATATGAGGTGGCATAAGGAAAAAAGGGTTGATGATGATGTTATGCGACATCCCGCTGACGGAACTGCATGGAAAGAGTTTGACAATATATATCCTGACTTTGCAGCAGACCCTCGGAACGTGAGGTTAGGCCTTGCCACGGATGGATTTAATCCATTTAATAATATGAGTAAACCTTATAGTATGTGGCCTGTGGTGGTTGTTCCATATAATTTGCCGCCTTGGAGATGTATGAAAAAAGAATTTTCCATTATGACATTGCTAATCCCAGGTGATAAAGCACCTGGAAGAGAAATCGATGTGTATTTACGACCATTAATTGACGAGCTGAAAGAATTATGGGAAAATGGTGTGCCGACATATGATAAGGCTACTAATTCTGTGTTTAACTTACGTGCGGCATTGATGTGGACAATCAATGATTTTCCAGCTTACGCAAATCTATCGGGATGGAGCACTAAGGGCTATAATGCATGCCCTGTTTGTAATGAGGACGGAACATCAGAAAGGTTTAGCGACAAGATTTGTTACATGGGACACCGACGGTGGCTACCTTGGAATCATGCATGGCGGGATAACAAAGACTCTTTTGATGGGAGAACTGAATATCGTGCTAGACCTCGGGAGTTCTCAGGGGAAGAGATTTTAGCACAAGTTGCCAATTTAAATTTTGGTCGGATGGGTAAACACGACAACAATCCGGACAAGAAAATGAAGAAAACGCCTGAGCATCGAAATTGGTCGAAAAAGAGTGTGTTCTTTGAGTTGGAGTATTGGTCAAAGTTAAGAATCAGGCATAACTTAGATGTCATGCACATCGAGAAGAATGTTTCTGATAGTGTTGTTGGAACAATACTGGACCTAGAAGGAAATCTAAAGACACGCACAAAGCTCGCAATGATTTGATGAATTTGGGCATAAAAGAAAATTTGTGGCTAGAGTGGGACGGCAGTAAGTGGAATAAAGGTCACCCGTTTTATACCGTGGAACCAAAGAATTCCTTGAGTTTTTGAAATCTGTAAAGTACCCAGATGGATATGCAGCCAGTATCTCTCGAAATGTGAAAGTCGGTGAGAAAAAAATTTCTGGATTGAAGAGTCATGATTGCCACGTGTTATTACAGCGACTTATTCCCGCGGGTATTCGAAAATTTTTGCCGGAAAATGTGGTTGAACCGATCATTGAATTATCGAGCTTCTTTCAGCAAATATGTGCCAAAACGTTGTGTGTGGTAGACTTGGAAAGGCTGAAAGAAAATATCGTGTACATATTGTGCAAGCTTGAACAAATATTTCCCCCTGCATTCTTTGATGTAAAATTCTTTGATGTAATGATTCTCACGTCATGATCCACTTAATAGATGAAGCGATACTTGCTGGGCCTGTTAATTTTCGGTGGATGTACCCTATAGAAAGGTAACAATATTATTCTCCCATTTAATCTCATTGTTCTTATGAAATTGTAAATTTAAATTGTAACACTTTAATTTCTTTGCAGACTATTGGGAAGGTATAAACGCTATGTGCGGAACAAAGCACGTCCTGAGGGATCTATTACAGCGGTATACCTTTCAAATGAATCCCTCACTTTTTGTGGGATGTATCTCCGTAATGTTGAAAGTTCTTTTAATCGACGTGAACGGAATATTGACAGTGGTGTGCGACAAGAGAAGCTTTCTGTATTTGCCCAAATTGCAAAACCGTTTATGGGTAGTTCAAGTGTTGAATTCACTAATGCTGACATGAAGATAGTTGAATGGTTTATATTCAACAATTGTGACGAGGTGACACCATTCCTTGAGTAGGTGACATCTTCTGTATTTACTTTTAAGTATTTTTTTTCCCCACTCTAATATTTATTTGACTTATTAAGCAGGGAGCATGAGGAAATAGTAAAGCGTGAAAGTAGTTCAAATGTGGAGCAAAGACACAAAGATAAGTTTCCTTCTTGGTTTCGTGAACATGTAAGTCGAAGTTTGTAGTTATTGTAATGTGTTGCATTATTTTAAAATAATTTGTGCATAACACTGTCCATCATATTACTAGATGAGGAGCTTGGGAAAGGAAAAGTCACCTTTATATAATGATGAGTTGTTTGAGTTAGCGAGAGGTGCTGTGCGAGCTGAAACATATCAAGGTTGTGTTGTGAATGGGGTTAAGTTGTAGTTGCCGAACGAGATGATAGATTAATTACTCAGAATAGTGGGGTGTATGTGCCTGGAGATGTCAATACTGGAGAACTAGAATTTTATGGAAAGTTGACTAGTGTTATTGAATTGTTATATAGGCAGGGGTATAAAGTGGTGTTATTTAAGTGCCACTGGTTCAATACAGACCCTTCTAGACGAGGGAGTATAAAACGCGACTACCACTTAATATCAGTCAACACAAACACTCGTTGGTATGATAATGATCCTTATATTCTTGCCACTCAAGCGAAGCAAGTGTTTTATGTGGCTGATCCTAAGGCAGGTACTGGTTGGAAAGTAATTCAAAGAATTCAACATAGAAATGTATGGGATATTCCGGAAAAGGGGGACTCCGAGGGTGATAGTAGTGATGATGATGTGACATACCAAGAGAACTCTTCATCAGACATTCCCGACATGGCACAAGTACAACACATTGATGAAACTTTGACTCCGTACTGCTTGGAAAACGTTCCTTCAGTTGCAGTTGAGATTGACTCCATCATTATAGATCTTGGGGCTCTTCCCAGAATTGATGAAAATGAATTCATTTACAATTATAATGAAGAAAGTGATATAGATACTAATGACTACATAAGCAATGAGGAAAATAGTACTCATGGTGATGATAGTTTCAAGCAGTACTACTGATGACGATAGTGATCTGGATTATTAGTAAGTCAGTATTTATTTTACTCATTGTGTTTTTGTCTAAATAATTTCGTCATTTTGTATATGCATTTTCCTTATCACATTAGTTTGCTAACTTGTTTGTTTGTTTTTGTATTTGTTTTCCATGTTTTTATTGCAAAATGAAATAATTGTATTTGCTTTGATTGAATCGCATATATGGATGAAAAACATGTTCTTAATTGAACTATTTCATTTGGGTTCGAGTTTTATGATCTAGGTTTCCAATTTTTGGTTGATTTGGGCATCCATTTGTATAATATTGGTAAAAACAATGTCCCTTGACTTTAATTCCAGATTTCCAATGTAATTATTCGATATTGTGGTTTAGGTTTGACATATTTGTTTTTCCTTTCTATAACACTTGCAGGTTGTCTATGGCTAAGTGGAATTCTGAGCTAGATAGCTTACAACTGATATCAGCACGGCATGGAGACCAGTGTGAGGATCATTCATGCCAGGTAATTTTGATATTTGAGGATTAACTTGATTAGTAGATGTCTATATCTTCTTGTTTACACTGATAAAGATTATAAACAGTGATGAATTAGGGTGCTTTAGTATCGTTTATTTATGTTTCCAGGTGCATATGCTTATGTCCTAGAGTTATAACCTACTTAGCTAGGTTGGTAGTGTTATGTTTATATACATTATAGACCTTTCAAGGATTTATATCATCTACTTATCATGTTGCCTTGTTTACAGAGTGTGAGAATCATGTTGCCTTGCTGTTATGTTTATCTTGTTGTTTACAGTGATGAATTACGTATAAGTAGTTGATGCTAACTTGATTATTACCTGGTATCTATTAAACATGTAATTTTTCTAGGTTGTGATGCTGCATGGTGTTGGTAAGTTAACTTGATTAGTAGATATCTTTATCTTGCTGTTTACACATTTATGGTTTCATAAGTTATTTGTTTAGAAATACCACTCTAGTGTGGCCTTGCATTTCCTTAGTGTCAATGATATTTAGCACCCTTAAAGTTTGCTAATCAAGTTTTTTTAATTTGTTTTTCTTCTACAGTTGTTTGATACTGGAATGTTTCATGATGATCCTAATCGTTTCCCATTTTCATGATGCTGAATATCAACGTGATGAGGACTATAGTGAGAATGGTGATACTTAAGGATATTTTATCTATATTATAGTAATGTCGAAATGAAAATATAGATTTTTTTGTATTTTGTAACTAAACCGAATTGTGAACCTTACATTATTTTAAATTACATGAATTTTGTGTTGTTCCTACATTAATTCTTCATTCACGCCCCTTCTCGATCTCCTAAGCTTGCTTGTTGTGATGGTTAAAAATATTATTAAAAACAAATGTGAATAAAAATTAGAAAATATTGGACTTGACATGTTTTGTCGGCACAAAACAATTAGCCGACAAATGTTTTTGTTCACAAAAGATTCAACCAACTAACTATTTTGTCTACACAAGTAATTTGAGCCAACAAACCAGTTTGTTGGCATAGGACTACGTAGCCGAAAAACCATTTTGTCGCGACAAGATTACTTAGCCGACAAAATGTTTTGTCGCGACAAGATCACTAAGCCGACAAATAACTTCATCGTGAAAAAACAACCTATGTTGACAAAATATTTTGTCGCAATGTTGGTTTGGTGACGGGCACAGTTTGACGGCTGAGATTTGTCGCCTTAAAAATGAGCCAACGAAATATTAAGATTCGTCGAGAAAGATCTTGCGCGACATGCTTTTAGCGACAAAATTGCCGACAAAATTTTTTGTTGGGAAAGGCTCTTTGCCGACGAATTTTGACTTTTGCCGACAAACTAATTTTGTCGGCAAAGTGGAAATTTCTAGTAGTGGTTGCATATTTATATATATTACAAACTTGAAAGATCTTTGTACCAAGTAATGGCTACAAAAATTTCTTCAAGATAAATAAGCACATTATTTCTTAAGTTCAATTAGCATTATTTTATTGTGAAAATGGGTGAGTTCTACTAAGAACAAATCACACTAGAATGTAACAAAAGAAATAAATTAATATATTCTGTCATTTTGTTTCACAGTTGATGTTTCTAAATTGATTATATTTAAGAATCTAGTAATTCATGTGTATTCTCTTTGATAATGTTTATACCACATTTTAGTTTTGAGCCTCGACTATTCAACAGGGAAGTATCAATTATGTAAAAGAAAGGGCAAATTATTTATCTCTATAGGGAAGCAAGCAATTATATATCTATATGAGAGAAGAAATCCTGTTTAAATTAAATGGTAAATGAGCATATCTAATACATGCAATATTTAACTCCAAATTACTGAAAACCAATTTCGAATGGGACATATATATTACCTTGTTTAAATTAACTAGCCTAGCCCATGGCTCCTCCAGCTCTTGCCCAGAGCCCCTCAATTGGTCAGTTTAGGAAGAAACCGGTGGCGAACGAAAATTAGCTACCTAACACTTTTTGGCCATTAGCCTCTCATACTAATAGAACAACAAGAAATTTGCAAGGCTATATTCATAATAGTGTTGGTTTTTGATAAGAAAATTTTACCCACTTGCTAAAATAGGGATAAAAATATTTAAAGATACTTACAATAGTACAAGGTTTGTCGTAGTATAGCAGCTCTAACAGGGTCGTTTTCCACATGGAATTGAATGAATAATTGTATTTAAAACTAACTCTTAATATTTATTCAAACAAAGTTTTGAAAATGTTTGATTTTAGAATTTAAAATAATAAAAAGAATTTAAAATAAAACAATTAAATAATCAACTAAAATCAATTAAGAAAACACGATTTTTAAAGCACTAGGTTCCGCCGTCATCTTAACAATCCTACGTAGTTCTTCAACTATTTATGAATTATCCATGCATATTTTGAAGGTTAGGATTTTCCTAATATATATTCTACTTGAATTATAGACGATATCTAACATGAAACCTCGTCTGGACGTTCGAATCAAGTTCAATCAAATAGAATATGAAAGACTCATTAAGTTTTTATGAAACCTTTTGAAAAACCATGCAACCCTTAAGACGTGGA